TCAGTCCCAGGGCTGCTGGGCACTTGGTCCCAGTGAGGTCCATGTGATTTCCACATTGTAGAGGTTGCAGGACTGAACCTCCAGTTGCATGGACAGGAGGGGTATATTTGCTCACACTTAAATTTCAGAGGGAGGATTTTGCCAGGGAGAAAGCAGCAGCTTCTATACATATCTAGAGACTTTATTAGACTCTCCAGAAAGGGTAAAACCACCAGCTTGTTCAGAGAAACCCAGCATCATCCAGATCAGCACAAACAGATGACCATGGCTGTGCTGTGCCCACAAACACCAACATTATGAAGCAATCCCCTCTGGTATGAGCTGTCCTCAAAGCATATGGCACTTAGCAGACAGGTTAGTGTTTCACAACTGCCTGCCCTATGCTTGGTGGCCTGAAAACGAAAATTGGGCTTAGTACCTCTTTCTCCAAAGGCCCTTTGGCATCAGGAACTGTGATGCATGGGTGCTGCCTCCAACACCCAACTCCACCACCCTCATCAGTGGAACCCTGTGTCCCCCTGCTCACCCCACCTTCCTGGACTCCTTTGCTGTCCTCCAACGCCTTATTTTCTCTCTGTCCTACAGAAAGACCCCAGTGAGGCACTGGTCATTGCAGTGACCACCAGAGCCATCTTCAACCTGGAGAAGGAGCACAAGCTCTACCTGGAGAAAGGCAAGGAGGAGTACACAAGGCACCAGCAGGCCAACCAGGACAAGCCCCTGCCACCAGGCACAGCGTTCGCCTTCATCCAGGTGAGCTCCACACCAGGCCAGGGGCACATACAGACACTTGCAATATGGGGTGAAACCTCAGCTTTCCTGGCTTTAGGTCTCAACTTCCATCACTGGGTGCAGATGTGCCTGTCCTGGCCTCTTGGCCTTATTGCAGGGCATCAAGACCTGTGCTCCTCACCAGTCCCACATGTCCACCTCCCCTGTGGTGGGGTATCCTGCATCCTCCATCCTTCCTGGAGATAGCCTTTGCCAGATGGTTGCTTTCTGGCGCTCCATATCATGGTAGCCTTGCCATAGCTGACAGACACAGCACAAACCTCTAACCTTAACCGCAGAAGAGCCTCGGCAAAGGCACTGCTGTCATGGGCCTCCATAAGAGTCTCATCTTCTCGCAGGCAGCACAGTATGTGAACGAGAAGATCCTGGAGAGCAACCCAGCAGAGAAGGACCTCTTTGACATCCTGGTGCTCTCCAACAACAGCCCAGAGAGTGGTGTGCGCATCATCAACAGTGCCAAGCACTATGGTAAGGGGGACCCCGTCCCTGGGAGTGTCTCCTTCCCTCTGGGAGGCTGTGAAGCAGATAAGCCCCCACAGTGGAACATCAGTGGCAAATACAGAGCCAGGGGGCACAAGGGGAAGGGGTTATTTTGGAAACAAGCCCGACTCCTGCCAGCCCTGTGCAGCTTGCCTGGGGTGCTGGAGCACACCCAGGGTGCAGGCTCCTTGGCAGAGCCCAGCTCCCTTCAGCTGTGTCCTTTGCACCAGGGAGTCTGGCAGCATTTTGCACAGCCTGGACATCAGCTACTAAAGAAATGAAGTTCTTTAAAAAAACACAGAACACACCACACCAAAAACCAAACACCTAAATCCCAGAGTGCTGTTAGGAACACTCATTTAAGAGAGGGATGAAGAGAATATTTAACTGCACTCTGCAGTTTTGTAGGAGCAATGGGGCAAGAAGATGCAGCAAGAACAGGGGTAGGTTCCCCACACAGCACTGGGAAATTAATTGCCCTGAGCTTTGCAGCAAAGCACACAGAGACCCCAGGAGAAGAGGGGAGGTGGGGGCTGTGAGGAGGATATGGCCGCATAACAGACTTTGCTCACATTTCCTGACCAAAAGGCCTGGAGATCTCCAAATTCTGCTTCGTCAGTGATGAGGACTCCACGCAGTACCTGAAGTCCCACGGGGTCAAGCTCTTCCTCTCAGCCGACAGAATAGATGTCTGCAATGCCCTCCGGAGAGGTGCGTTCTCCCCTCCTTCCTAAACCCACCACACTTCTCCCAAGGAGCCCAGTACCAAGAGGCCACACCAGAGCCCATGCTCTCACAGGTGAAAGGAGGTGAACGACACGCTGATCACCAGTACAGTCTCCTCTTCTGTCCCCACCGGTATCCTGCAAACGCACCAGGGTTTCTCAGATGCCTTCACAAGTCACCAAGTGCTTTATGCATAATTCTAACGACAGCTCTGCCATGGGCTGGTCATTCCTTGCCTCACATTTAAGCCTTTCTAACCAAAGACACTGCCAGTTGCTGCTCCCTGGAGCAATGAGTGATTCCATCAGTGATTCCCAGGCCTTTGGAATGATGCTGTAGAAGCTTGCTTCCTTGGTACCTGCAGTTACCATGTGCTCAGTGGTAGATGTAAGCACATGCTTGACTCAGATCAGAGGGAGTGCAGTCTCTCCAATATCTCTAATGGGGTTAATCGCCTCCTTATTAATTTGTTTGTGTATGAGCACATCAGCTGGCCAAGGTCCTTCAAGGTCAGGAGGAACCCACCTGCAGCCTGGGCTTTCCTTTACTACACAGCACATTCCTGGAGCCTCCCTGAAGAGCATCATTGCTCTGACAAGTGTCACTCATCCAGGGTCCATGAATGAGGGCAGGCAGGGAGTGGCCTGTAGGAAGAGACCTGTAATTAAGCCAATTACCCCCATCAAGCAGAGGTGCCAGTCCCTGTTACCTACACCATGGAGTGCTAAATCTGGGCATGAAAGCCAGGCTTGGCAGGGTGAGCAAGCACTAGGAGGGCTGCTCATACCTACATAGCTACCCAACATCTCTTAGCAGACCAAGTGTCTCTCCAGACCATCTCTCATCAGCAGCACTTTCCTGTCCATCCCCAACCCAACATCTCTTAGCAGACCAAGTGTCTCTTCAGACCATCTCTCAGCAGCAGCACTTTCCTGTCCATCCCCGTGGGGGGATAACACAGCCCTGGAAAAGCCGGGCTGACCCCCACAGAAAGACCCCTGGCTTGGAGACCCTGACATTTTTTGGTGTGGGATGGGGCCACGGCAGATGCACGAGGAGGAGCTGGCCGTGCCTGAGCTGCCCCCAGGAGGGGGTGTCCCTCCTGAGCCCTACCTTGCTCTGTCTCACAGGTGTCTCGGCAGCGCTTGTCTTCCAGCAGCAGGTGCAGGCCCCCAGCACCCCGCTCCGCATTGTGTTCGATGGGGATGCCGTGCTCTTCTCCGACGAGACGGACCAGGTCTTCCGGGAGCGGGGGCTGGAGGGGGCAGCACAGTATGAGCGGGTGATGGAGGCCGTGCCCATGGGAGAGGTGAGCAAGCTGCCCCACTTGTCTCGGCATCCACAGGCTCTGCACCCAACTGAGCATCTCTCCTGCTCGGGCTTTGCCATGAGTAGCCAAAAAAAGCACAAATCCTTACAGGTTCCCTTTGCATCCACTGCTCAGTCCCTAGTGTGGGCCTGATCTGGAGTCGGATCTGGCCCAATGTCTCCTATAAGTGAGCATCAACTCCCAAACACCCAAGGTTGTGGTTACCTCCACTTCACCTTTCATAGGCTGGGACCTCTTGCTGTGCAAGTCCCTGCAGGACTCAGACCCAGAGGTACTACTTGCTAGGATGTATCTTCCTGGTCGCTTTGGGGTTAGGATGAGCACCACAATGCTCACCTTTCTCCTGAGCACCCCAGTGCACAGCACCAGTCCCAGCACTGCCCAGTCCTGCACCACACAGGTGTCCCTGGGCTCTGCAGAGCCCTGAGAAACCCTCACAGAGAAACAGGTGGCTCATACAGGCAGAGAAGGTGTCTCCTTATTTCCCATCCACTCCCAAGTGTCTTGCTGTGCTTCCAGGGTCCCCTGAAGGCTTTTGCCATGCACCTTGGGAAGATGCGCAAGAAGTTCAGCCAGGAAAAATCCCCCATCCGCACCTACCTGGTGACTGCCCGCAGCGGCCGGGACATGGGCATTCGAGCCATCAAGACACTCCGGGAGTGGGGTCTGGCCATTGATGAGGCTTTCTTCATGGACGGGGCTCCCAAGGGCCCCATCCTCGCCCAGATCCAGCCCCACATTTTCTTTGATGACGGCCTTCATAACATCCAAGGGGCTCAAGACATGGGTGTACCCTCTGCCTGGGTCCCTTCCTGCTGCTGATGGGCTGCAGGCCAGCAGACCTCCCTCCCAACAGCACAGGAGACTGAGCCAGTTGAAGACAAACCTTCTGGTGGAGAGGGAAGGATTTCCTAATGTGCAGCAAGCTAGCCTCAGGGAAAGGGGACAAAAGCATTACATGAGAGCACAGACTACCAGGCAAGACTTGATGATCATTTCTGCTCCTGATACAAAGTCCTTTAGGTCTTAGGATAAAGCCAAAAATCTGCAACTACTTCAGGAAGGAAGGACACACCTTTGCTCGTGACACTGAGGACTATCACCTACATACCCAGTAGGACCTGGGGACTTTTTTGTTCTGCAGAGAAATAAATGAAGCCACTGCCCCACTCATGAGCTGAAGAACCATGAAACCAAGCACTAAAAACACTAGCTTTGGCTGTGCCCAGACAGTCTCCAAGATTTATTCCCAGGACCTCTGCCCAAAGGAAGCCCTCAAGACCCTGCCTCACCAGACACACTCAGCTTGGTTTCCTGAGGAGGCTGATGTACTAGCAAGTCCTCCAGGCAGCTCCAGCCAAACTCAGCAGAAGGAGAAAGACTTCAAAGTTGTAAAAGATCTACGAACCTTTTAGAAGTGGGTGACCAGGTTGAAGAAGGAAAGCCCAAGCTATTCCCCCTTATAGAAGAGATTATAGCATAAGTCACCTTTCCATAGGCACGCAGGCTGCTCACAAAGTACCCTTAGGAGACCCAGACTTGTAGGACACGCCAAGGATAAGACTGCACCCCAGGTCTGAGGTCCATCCAGGAGACAGAGCTGCCACGTAGGTCCCATGTCTCACCAGGAGAGGGCACTGGAGCTGGGTGCCATGGCTTGACAGCACAAGCCATGCAGAGTCAGGGCTGCAAACAGCACCCCAAGGACCAGGGTAGGACTGGGTGCCTGGGCCTGGGCTTAAATGGGTCTCCAGGGCCATGGGTGGAGGCTGTAGGTGGGGGTCCCAGGTGCAGCTTTTCAGGGCAGATGGAGTCCGTGGGTGTGCTCAGGTCCCTGCCTCGCACCATCCACTTGCTGTGCAAAATAGCATCTCTGGCAATTTGGACTCTGCTCCTAATTTTCCTGGGGAGCCAGCAGCTCCCCCCGATTCATTTGCGGGTTTCTTTCCCCAGGGCTGGATGTGAGCGGTTGCCACTAGAGGCCACTGTGCTCCCCGGGGACACAGCACTCCAAATCCCTGGGAACTCCCCAGAAGAGTCTGGTAAAAATTAGACAAACTAGCTGCTCAGGGCAGTACCTGCTGAGTGGCAGTGGGGTTATGGATGGAGGAGATAAAGATGTTAGTGGCTTAGGTTTTTTAATCTCAGTGTAATCGAAAAGTAATTTTTGTTCTAGACTTCACCAATGTCACTCTCACCCATGCTTTTTGCCCCCAAAAAATAAACAAATGAGCATCCCTGTGTGAGCACTTGTCCCTCACACCCGTGTTCAGCGGCATAGGAAGATGGCTGGGATAACTCAGTGCTCCTTTATGGACATTCAGTTCTTGTACTCAGTCTTACGCACATGCGTCAAGATGGATTAAATACACACAAAACCTTCAGTGTGCTTTGAATTAGGCCCCTGAACATCTTGCATCCATGTCCCCAAGCCTACTCCTGTGTCCTTGCTACCCCAGGCTTGAGGGCTCTGCACATCTCACTCTAGCAAGGGGAGCTGCTGGCCTCGCTGTGCCACCAGCACAGGTCCTATTCCTGCCACCCTCGCTGTGCCACCAGCACAGGTCCTATTCCTGCCACCCTCACTGTGCCACCAGCACAGGTCCTATTCCTGCCACCATGGCCACCACGTGGGTCCAAACTCAGCACTGCCAGGGCAAGGCAGGGATGCCTCTGTGCAGGACTTTGGTAAGAAGCTACCTCCAAAGACACAAAGCCCGGCAGGGTTTTGGCACCAGCAGTCTTGCCTCTGGCCCTTTCGGTCAGTCCAGATGCTGAAATTAAATGTCTTGAGGTAGCAACATCAACAACATCAGCTACTGCTCATTCACTAATAATGCTAGGCACGTGTCAGCCTCAATCACTGAGCAAACATTAATTACAGGATGCTCAAAACATGCCCAGCAAGCAGGTACAGATGTTCATCCCACTTTTATACAGGTCAGATACTGCCAGGCTCAGTGCAGGGATCCGAGCATCCATCTCCAGCCTCGCTCACCGTGCACAGCCGTTTGCTTCGGTGGCAATGGGTGGTGAGGACATGGACCTGGTGGTGGTGGTCCCAGACATCCTCGACCACTCCGACCCATCGCCTTTGCCGATGCTTGGACAGTGCCAGCAGGAGCTTGGTCAATGCCTTGGGCAAGGGGGAATTAGCTGAGTCAAGGGTGGTGGGGATGGGCCCACATGAGCCGTTGCAGGGCACAAGCTGCTGAGGCAGGGGGAAGGCACCGCGTGCCTTCCTCCAGCACCGTCAGCACAGCAGGGGATGACAGGGCGAAACGTGTCCAAAATGGGAAAAAAGGAAGGAAGGTCTGAGTTTGCGGGGTTGTGTCATGTGGGGCCAAGTGCAGCTGCTTTGGGCCATGGGTCAGAGTTGCAGCATCAAAACTGCCCCTTATTGCCCTGCTCCAAAGATGGAGCATCAAAAGCCCCTTTCCTGCCCTGCTCTGAAGATGCAGCATCGGAAACACCCTCCAGCAAGGACTGCTGCAGCCCCATGCCCTGCTGCAAGGGCAAACTTGTTGTTTCTGTCTTAGAGACATCTGTATTATGTTCATTAATGCTTGGGATGCTCCTTGTGTCTTGGCTTTCTGAGGCATTTCAATGACGTCCCTCCTTCAAGGGGTTGCTGGTGCCCAGGGGTCTCCTGCAACAGCCCGAAGCAGGTTTAGCTGCTGGGGCCAATCGTGGGAAGCTTCTCTGATATCCATCTGAGGTTTTGAGGGCCGGGGCAAGGCAGGAGCAGGTCACACCACCATGCCACCCAGAGGGACAGACTCCCTTCGAGTCCTGCTGGGTTTCACACCTTTCCACTCTGGGAAAAGAAATGAAGGGCTGAAAAGGGGTATGAAGGGGTGCCAAGGGAGGGGGCTCCAAGGACATGTGCTTGATTCTGGACACCGTCCCAGCTGAAGCTGGTGTTGGGGTGCCAAGGGAGGGGGCTCCAAGGACATGTGCTTGATTCTGGACACCGTCCCAGCTGAAGCTGGTGTTGGGGTCCCCCAGCCTGGTGTTGGGGTCCCCCTCCACCCAAAGCTGACCTGCCACTGCTGGGACACCCCCAGGACACCGTCCCAATGTGGGGAGGGAAGCGGGCGATGCCCCCACTCCACTGAGCCGCAGGCAGGCTGGCTGCCTTCTCCTCCAAGCCTGGCTCTGTTGGCGGTGCCAAACAAGCAGCCCTTGTTTCGAGGGGGGCACGTGACCCCCAGGATTGGAGGCTGTGGCCAGCTGGCCCAGACGAGTTTGCAGGAGACCTTTGCCCAGGAACGTACCCTTAATCCCCCACTTACTGCACCAGTGAATTTAGGGTTGAAACACTGAAAAAAAAACAACTTGTCATAAGAGAGAAAGGAATTCTTTATGAAATGATGGTGATGCAGGGAGGGAAGATGGGCAGGTATTTAGCTGCTAACAGAGGTCTGCATTGGCAGTGTCCGAGCAGTTCGACTTTATTGACACCTGGCTCCAGCAGGAGAGGATGCTGAAGGCTGCAGGACCCAGGCACCGCTGCCGTGTCCTCCAGGGATGCTCCCACACCTCCCCCCACCCATAACCTACAAGGACCTTTGACCACAAGCACAGGACAAAATGTCTTTGCATTTTTGACCTAACCCTGAGCCGCACCAGTAACAGCTCCTTGGGAAACACTTAGGGGTTCCCAGCCAGGGAGGTTGAGGTGCCAAGTCCCACACTGCAAATAATTATGAACAGGGCGCTTTCCGTGCAGCAGCTCAGAGAGAGAATGTGCAAAGCCGCAGACTGTGTTTGCCAAGGTGCTTAAATGTGGATTCAAGATCTTAACCCCAAGCAGGCTCATTGGAAGATGTTGGCTGCGGCAGCGAGTGAAACTGGTGCTTAGGAGAAAGGCAAAAATAAATAGGTGGAAATTACAAGCATTTATGAGCATATTCATATAGCAACACCTGCGCTGGGAGGTCGGGATTGATTCATCAAAGAGGAGCTGGGTGTTTGCTTCCACTTCAAGGAAAAACATTCCAATTTTAAGTTGATCTTTGGGTTGCCATGGGGTGTTGACGATCATCTTCCTGAGCCCACCTTCCTCCCAGGACCACAAGGCTCAACTGCTTTGGAGCTTTGTCACGTGGAGAAGACGTAATTGCATAAACGACGGTCTTCTCGATGCAGCTTCGGCTGGAAATTAAAGGAAATAATTAAATGGCATCTAGTTCTGGCAAAGAAAATGAGATGGATGGCATGCTTGGATGAGGCTGGAGGCACGTCTCTGCATCGTGCATGGAGATCTCCCGGGGGAGCCGATACCCCCTGCCCCAAGCTGGGCTGGTGTGGCCCTAGGGGCTGCGGCAGGGATTGCTCAAGGCGGGCGATGAGGTGAGTCGGGTCCTGGTGCTCCCCATCACATCCTGGCGTGGGAGGCGATGAATTGATGCCGTCACTGACATTTACCACCCCATCCCGTCAGCTGCCGGTCACACCGCCTGCTGCCAGCGCCTGCCAGGGCTGTTGTTGCCCATACACATGCACGGCCCCGGCAATTTCAGCCAGCTGCAAAATAACTCGGGTGAGGCAAACACCACGAGATCCCTGCCCTGAGGAGCAGCCCCAGCAGCTGGGGTGAGGTAGGTCCCCTCCTCCCCAAAGTGGGTGCCAGGTGTGTCCCCGGCTGCGGGGGAGGACGGGCTGGGGGATGCGGAAGGATGTCCGACTCCAAGCGGGGTCAGGCACAGGCAGGCGGCACGGGGGCGGCAGCGGGGATTTGGGCAGGGTCACGGAGCGCGTGGGACGTGGGGATGGGTGATGCCAAGTTTGGCGGGAGCCCGGTGAGGCACAGTGGTGTA